CGGGCTGGGCCGCGGGGCTGCCCCAGCCACAGGGACACGGATTGTTCCCAAACCCTTCCCGGGGCTGCGCCCGCCTTGCCCCTGCCAGGCTGCCCCATAAGGCATCTGTGGGGCTGCCCCAGCGTGGGGACCCGGCATGTCCCCATTGACACCCCGCAGGGCCACCCCCATCCCTGGGGACTTATGATGACCCCACTGACACCCCACAGGGCCACCCTCATCACAGGGACCTGGAATGTCCCCACTGACCGCCCAGGGGGTCACCCTCATCACAAGGAGCGAAGATGGCCCCATTGACCCCCACAGGGCCACCCCCATCACAGGGAGCCAGGATGGCCCCATTGAGCCCCATAGGGCCACCCCTATCCATAGAGACTCAGGATGGCCCCATTGACCCCCATAGGGCCACCCCATCCACAGGGACCCAGGATGGCCCCAGCGATCCCCCGTGGGGACACTCCCAGCACAGGGACCTGCACCGCTGTCACAGGGTCACCCCCAGCTCTAGGGGCCAGGGTGTCATCCCATCCTCCACAAAGATGGTCAAACACCCTCCTCGAGGGGTGATAAGGATGGGGGGAGCTCTGCTGAGGTCCCCGTGCCCACTGCTGTGGCTGTTGTCATTCCCTATCCATGGTAAGGGTTTCACGGCAGAGCCTGGACAGGTGGAGGCAGTAGTGTGGGTTATTTTTTTAAAGCCATTTAGTAAAAAATGTGTTTGATTTCTGTCAAGTGATACATTTAAGGCAGAAGGGAGCATAAGAAGATCCTGTAGCGTGAAACTCAGTCTGCTGGAGGTGACACTTCATGTCCAGTTGCTGCTGGATCCCTGTGTTATTGGAGCTTTGTGATGGAGCAGGTGGATGATAAACGTGTTGGGATGCAGACAGCAAAACCTTGGATGAACATCCTGCCTGAGAACTGCTCTCACTCAGGGTTCAGAAAATGGTCTTTCTTGCAGTGGGGAAGAGGCAGGAGAGCCCAGTGAGACATAAGACAGAGCTCCCACCTTCCCTGCAGCCTCCTGGGGCCACCAGCAGCTTCTCTGTGTCCTCCCTCGGAGTTTATGTGCAGGTAGGGACTGCATTAACCACAGGAGTGGGGAAACTAACTGGAAGACAAGGAACATCGTAATTAAAAATCAGAATTTACATCTTGGCTTTTCCTAGAATCTTGTTTTGCAGGAGAAGCAATGTCCAGACTTCTCTCTTGTCAAAGAAAAATCATGTTCCTCACGTACTGAAACGATCAGGGTCTGATTGAAAGGAGTAAATTGCCAAATTGTCACGGCCCCTCAGCCGTGAGATTGATCATTCCTCACATCTTTGGGACATGCAAACTCATAGATAGAGCAGGTGGTGATTAACTGGGTATTACTAATTGCTAATCACAAGGGCTGTCAAGGTAAAATTAGAAAGGGAATTGTTTTGTAGAAACCCAGCCCCTCTTGCTCAGTGCTTCCAGGATTTGGGTTTCCAGTTTCTGTGGGCAGAGCCTTCAAGCAGGTTTTTTCATTGATGGAAAAGGTGTGTGGGGGTTTTCCTGAATTTTATTAGCTAAGTACTACAGCCCCAGAAGATGGGAATGCCAACATACACATAGTGCAGGGCAAATCCAATTAGTGTGCCTTGAGCTGAGCAGCAGCCAGTTATTGTCTGTGACAATTCACTGTCACTGAGACTGGTTTGTGCTCAGTCTGTGACCTGTGAGGACATGAGGGAGAGATGCTGAGCCCTGCTCTGCCAGAGGCTCCTCACCTGGATATATGGAAGTCAAGACCAGATACTGGAGTAAGAGGAAAGTGTAAAGCACTAGAAGAACAACAGGCAGCAACTCCTTCTCTGGTGTGGCCTCACCAAGCCTGGGTGTTTTTAAGCTCAGCATGAGGTTCCAATAACCTCCCCCTGCTGCTGGCTCTGCTCTAAGCCAAAGATTTGGCTCAGGACCTCCTGATATCCCCTCCACTGAGGTTTTCCTGTTATTCTAAATGACATTGGGATGTAAATAATGTGTTACCAGCACCTTACCCTGTACATGTAAGAGGCAGAAACCCCTCTGGATCCCTGGTGATGCTGTGTCCCCTCACCCACAGGTCGTGTCCCTGCAGCAGGTGCCTGAGGTGCTGATGTGACACCCCGTGGGGGGCCCTGCTCGTTGGAGGGCTATGGGGAAACTGCAGAGTAAACTCAGCTTCCACACCACCAAATACGGGTAAAGCAACGCTGGGTGATCGTGTCTTGTTAACAAACCAGGTGGGAGAGTGAACAGAGAACACAGATGACCAGAGAACAGAGCAAGCACGTGGTTTCAGTTTCGTTACTGAATGTGTGAATCGAGTTTTCACTTTTGAAAAAAGTCTGCTCAGCTTCTTTGGGGGGCTGAAGTCCCAAGTGTCACTCACAGGAGTGGCCGTGCCCTGTGATGGCTGAGGCAGAGCTCTGAAGGGGAACAGCTCCAGGAGTGGCTCTTTGGCCCAAATATCCAAACTGCTTTGCTGTCTCTTCAGAGACTGTCATTGCTTTTGTTGGCAAGGTGAGATAATTCTGTGTCTGGCAGCAAGGGGGGGAATCTCTGCCTGGAGAGCAGCTGAGAGCACGGAGGGGGGCACAGAGCTGGGGGGCACTGTGTGGCCAGGGAGGTGTCACAGCAAAGAGCAGCTGAGTCTGACCCATGTGAGTGACAGTGGGGGCTGGTGAGATCAAAATCTCCTTTACTCTTTGCACCAGCACAGAGTGAGCAAACATACCAATATTTGGCAGCTCTAGAGGTGAGGTGGGTCTGTTCCATCTCACCTGGTTCGCTCACGGCCTCTCTCGGGCTGTCTAAGGCAGGGGTTGTCACATCAGGTGGTGTCAGCAGTGCCACCTCCCAGACCTGGTGTCACAGGAATGGCACCTTGACCTTGTCTCACATGCCCTGCAGCTCCCACCCTGTCTGTCCGTGCTGCAGGGCTGATGGCTCCGTGGGACAGACGGGATTCATCGTGGGACAGACGGGATCCACCGTGGGACAGACGGGATCCATCGTGGGACAGACGGGATCCATCGGCACCTCCCGGCAGCACAGCCCCGCTCACACCGACGCTGTCACCTCTGTGGCTGCTCTCAAACCAGACCTGTGTGTGTCAGGGGGCAGGGATAAGGTGAGGTACCCCCTGCCATGGCCCACGGGATGGAAAACATGTCAACAGGTTCGAAAATAAGATTTAAATGTGAGCTTTGAACATTTTCTTGAAGTGTTCAACTGTTCTGTGAACATTCTGGGAGAGTAACAACTTTGTCAGTCCCTGAATTTAGAAAGAAAAGATGAGCTTGGAGTGAGGGCACACACTGAAGCACATGGAATCAAATTTTGTAACCTTTCCTGAGCTCAGATCACATCGAGTGGTCTCACCCAGGCTTGGAATCACTGGCCCTTATGTTACCTGGCTCTACAGACAGCTGTATCTGCTGCAGGAGCTCAAAAGCAGAGGAACCTGTTCCCTGCCCTGTGGGCTGTGCACAGTGTGAAAGCCTCCCTGCCCTGTCCCTGCAGAGTGTGGCTGTGTGCAGCTGGAGATCCGGGGCTGCCCTGCGGCGCTTCGTCGGCCACGAGCGGGAGGTGACCAAGGTGAGAGCGCCGGGGTCTCCTGTCAGCATTCCTGGGGTGCCAGGGATAATGGAGCACTGGTTTGGCATCACACAGGGCCCCCTTTGCTCCACTAGAAAGAGGGACCAGAGTATCCCTGGTATCTAACTGGGGACAATCAGATTTGATGACCTTAAAGGTCTCTTCCAACCTTAACAATTCATGATTCCCTGATCAGAACACACCAGGTCTTTCCCATGGTCCCAGCTGATCCTCTGCTGTCCAGGGAAGCAGCAAGGAGAAGTGCATCCAGACTAAACAGGGCTGCAGGAGGCCTGTCTTCCCCTCCAGCAGACTGTGTAGCAAAGGTTAAGGATGAATTATGGGATCAAGTTTTTGATTTGGAGACACTGTTCACTTTTCTTCGGGTCTCGTTCTGCTGGACTTGTTATTCCACAGCCAACCAATCCTGGGAACAGCAGGGCTTTAATTTCCCTTCTGGGACTATGATGACAAAGCCCAGCATTCTCCTCAGAGAGCAGACATCCAGGGGTGTGTATGTGTGTGCACCTCGACCAGGGACAGCCCCAGGGGGTCCCCTTGGGTTGGGGTACTGGAGGGACAGAGGGGGCTTCATTCACCCCAGTGCTCAAGGCAGCCAAGCACTGGGCTCATTTGGGTTTGTAAGGAAGCTTTTCCTATAGAATGAATGGTTTGTGAGACCAAGAGAGCACCCATCCACCATCCCTGGCTCTGGGGGGACATGGGTGTCATGGTTTGAGAAGGTCAGAGTTTGAAGGTCAGGCTCTCCCCAGGCACATTCCTGCGTGTTTTGGGCTGTGACAGGACAGCAAATGTCATGTTCTCCCTGAGCAGAGCTGGGCTGGCTGGGAGGATAACCAGCTTCTCCCTCTTGTCCTTGGCAGGTCACCTCTGCCCTTGACTCCAGCAGAGTCTTCAGTGCATCCCGGGACAAGACAGTGATGATGTGGGAGCTTCACGGGGCGTCGGGGCCAAGCCAGCACTTCCCAGGACATGAGCTGGTTGTGACTGGGCTGGCTGTGAGCCCAGGTGAGGGACAGCACACCCCCAGTCCCCAGGGATTCACTGACAACGCTTCTTGACTTGGGTTTGCTGTTCCCTTGTGGTTGCAGATGCCTCCCAGCTGTGCACGGGCTCACGAGACAACACCGTGTGCAAGTGGGACACAGAGACTGGGGAGTGTCTGGCCAGGGCCACCATCTCCAGGAATCTGGTAGGAGCTGCTGCTTCCTCCCATCCCATCCTGGCACCTCCCTGCCTACATGGTTCTTTCACACGAGGCTGTGTAGAGGGAATTTGCTGTGAGCTTGGTGCCAAAGGGAGCCCTGGAGGCTCTGCCCAGGCTGCCTTGACAACAAGTCCAGGAGCACAAAGGTACCAAGAGACATGTGGCAGTTTATGAATGCTCTAACTCTGAACTGCCAGGAAGCACTCAGAATCATGGAATCACTGAGGTTGGAAAAGCCCCCTAAGATCATCGAGTCCCACCATTCCCCCAGCACTGCCAAGNTGGTTCTTTCACACGAGGCTGTGTAGAGGGAATTTGCTGTGAGCTCGGTGCCAAAGGGAGCCCGGGAGGCTCTGCCCAGGCTGCCTTGACAACAAGTCCAGGAGCACAAAGGTACCAAGAGACATGTGGCAGTTTATGAATGCTCTAACTCTGAACTGTCAGGAAGCACTCAGAATCATGGAATCACTGGGGTTGGAAAAGCCCCCTAAGATCATCGAGTCCCACCATTCCCCCAGCACTGCCAAGCCCACCCATAGCCCATGTCCCCAAGTGCCACATCCACACATTTTTAAATCCCTCCGGGGATGGGGACTTCACCAGTGCCCTGGGCAGCTGTGCCAGTGCCTGACCACCCTTTTAGTGAAGAAATTTTCCCTGATATTGAAACTAAACCTCCCCTGGCACAGCTTGAGGCCGTTTCCTCTCACCCTGTCCCTTGTTCCCTGGGAGCAGAGCCTGAATCCCCCCTGGCTCTCCCCTCCTGTCAGGGAGTTCCAGAGAGTGAGAAGGTCCCCCCTGAGCTTCCTTTTCTCCAGACTGAGCCCCCCCAGCTCCCACACTCTGCATTCCCTCCTGTACCAGCCCAGCAGTGGAGCTGGTGTGGACACCATCCCCTGGTGCCCGTGGTATCCCTGTTCCCAGGGCTCTGTGTCCTGGTGAGCTGCTGGCACCTCCCTGCCTGAAACATGCCCAGGGACACTGGGCCCAGGAAGGGAGCAGGAAACACCTTCATCCAACGTTTCCAGCTCCCAAGCCAGCACGAGGAGGGAGAGGGTGGGAGCATCCACAGCAGACACAGCCTGGGCTGCACACAGAGGTGGCTCCTGCTCATCCTTCCCTGTCCACAGGTCACACACCTGTGCTGGGTTCCTGGGGAGCCTTATGTCATCCAGACCTCGGAGGATAAAACAACCAGGTAAGTCCCACCTGTGCCACAGAGAAGGGAGTGTCAGCCTGGGGCAGGTGGGGTGTAGGGAAGTTGCCAGTGCACAAGGGGCTGTTCTTTGGTCACTGTCATGACCAGCTGCTGGTGTGGCCAGAAGCCACTTTCCAGCTCAGCTGGGCCTTGGAGCACAGTGTCAGCAGAGGACAGCCAGGGGCACAGGGGCTGTGAGCAGCACTGGGTGGTGACTGCAGGTGAAAAGGAGAGTTTGTGGGACAGAAAGCTCAGCTGCTCTGGCTGGAGAGTGATCCAGGATGGATAACTGCAGGGGTGGATCTGGAGGCAGGCGGGGGCTGCCCCAGGAGGGATGGCAGAAGGGCAGAGCGGGAGGGCACGGAGGGAAGCCCATCGTGGAGATGCTGCCTCAGAGTGCCCTTCCCCTCTCCTGTTCCCCCAGGGTCTGGGACAGCCGGGAGCTGCAGGTGGCACACACGTTCCCAGCCAAGCAGCACATCCAGACGTGCTGTGATGTGAGCCAGGACGGGCGGTACTGCCTCTGCAGCAGCCAGGGGGGAGAGGCCACCGTGAGTGTGCTGGGCCCCTGCTCCTTCCTCCAGTGTCCACAGGACACAGCAGAGAGCAGCACAGCAGTGCTCCAGGGATCTGAGTCCTCCCCCTGCACTGGATTTGTGCTGGTGTCACCAGCCAGCGCCAGAGCTTAGTGTCTTCCTGCCTGTCCCTTTGGGAAGTTCTGCTCAGGGAATGTCAGAGAATATGTTCCTGATT